GAGTAGGAACTCACAATAACCAGATGCGAACCTGGATGCAACACACCACCCTCTCGTTATTCGTCGGTGATGCACAACAAGTGTAATAGAAAAACATCGTTTCACGAGGGCATCTTTAAAACTATTTGCAATATCAAAGAAACTCATAAGCAATGGTCAAGTGACTTACAGCACTTCTGGTCGGAACGGTTCCTCCTGCCGTTTACAGAAGCTCGCTGAACCTTGAGCGTTTCCCTGGAGGCTATTGAAAATGGCTGCAGTTAAAGAGCAGATGAGTAGAGCGCAGAGCACTGCGCAGAGAACACGCATTGATGAGGGCAATAGACAAAGTGTGTCCGCTTCTCCAGTTAAATACTGAATTACAGAGATTAAGAACTGTTATTCAATTATTGATTGTAAGGTGGCTTTCTTATATTTTCGTATAATGACTATCTCTGGAAATATTCGCAGCAATGCGCACATTTTTAAAAGATTTTGTAAATTTGAGTTACGGACTAGTGAACGATACTCTAGGTATATGGTTGAGGAAGGCGGTCTATAAATCCGACATCTTCCGCCAGATGAAGCTTTTCATGAGCGAAAACCGTAAACCGCAAAGCAAAGTAATTCTTGCCCTCTGCATTCTGAAATATCGTTTCCAAGCGAGCCATGCCGCAAATCCCTCACTATTTTCTGCTCTATACTGATTCAAAGTCATCTTAGATGTCGTGGCAGAACTACGTCGCACGTGCTTTTGAGCGACTGAGAAAGTTATGTACGAGCAAATTAGTTGGGTATAAATTTGCCATGATTCGTCACAGGTGTATGGAGGTCTCAGAAGTGTTTGTGGCGTCCAAGAAGTCCGGCAAAAAAAGGAAAAAAGATATTTTGAGAGGAATTACTATTGCAGGAATGGATGAGATCAAAAAAGCACAGTTTGAAATCGGAAAAAAGTGACTTTGGGACGGCAAAAATGTCTTTCTGGCCCATTAAATAACTAGAGTTCCTCCTGCAGAGAAAATTTACGTTCGACCACTGGTTTTATCCCTTAGATAAGTTATTAACCAATGTTAAGATCCTTGAGTGATTCGTGGACTGACTAGACTAGTATTTTCACTGATAAAAAAAGAAAATATATTCTTCTAAAATATCTTTAAATTCATTCAATCATCAAAATACTCTAAAATGGAATCAGTGGTTAAGGTTGGAAATAGATATGCCGTTAGAAAACTTCAATTTGATAAGTCGCCCTCTTATAGGCTGAAGTAAGCAAATTGAATGAATGAAGGGAATATGTTGAACCCATGAAATACCTTTCATAGTTACTTTGGGTCGACGATGTTATGATGAATACTGACAAAGAGAAAAACGAACCTCGTAAGGCCGGTTCGAATTTTTGTCTGAATGATGACGTGACCACACCAAAGCATGCTGTTCAGGATCATCAACTGACATCTGAAAATCAGTAGCCAAAGGAATAGCGGTAGTAACTGTTTGATGTAAAACACATGTCGTTCATGACATAAATGAAGGAAGTAAGTTTTTCTCAAGCATGAGGAGGAAGGTGCACCAAAATGCAGACGTTGTTTGTAAGGAAAGGCAAGTAGATGTACAACGAGTATCTTCTACTTTATTTCTTAACTCTTGGGAAGCATGAGAAGATCGCAAGTGTTCAGAAGACTTCCTTGGACATCCTCGTGCTATCGTACTATTGCTTGACAACTTAATAAGTTAATGAGGCAAAGACTAAAAACGACACATATTTCGAGGTCGTAGACTCTCTTCGCAGGTCTATGAATTACAATCCTGTCGGAGTTCCGACTCAGCGATCTATAAATTGCGTTAAACTGCAATAACCCATAGAGCATTCAAAAATAACTGCTGGTTGCGGCTGCCGGATAAGTTCGTGGTCTTCTTATGAAGCAACAAAAAGAAAAGACGTTTTGACATTGACATGACAGAGAGGTTATTTGACATGCGAATCACGGATGTCGCATTCCGCACGATTTGACATATTATAGGTTACGGTAGGTGACAGATAAGTGGTCAAATTATTTCTAATAGCATTCCTTGACATGCCGATCATGAAATAAGGATGCGTTTTAGATCTACAAAATTGTAGGTCATTAAGCAGGCGCAAAATTTGATTCTCTAATTAAGGTTAGGTCATATAGGGATTGGCTTTTACCTCATCAGTCCACAAGTCTAAAATATGAGGAGTGAGGGAGAAGTGAAATTATTTTAATATTCGTGATTAAAAATCAGTGTTTGGCAAGTAATCAATAGCCTAAATACTTCTTCAAGCATGTGATTCACCCACTAATATACTTACCGCTATCTTTACCATAAGCTCTCATGCGGAGTGAGTATGGTTCGCGATTATTTGTCAAGTAACCCCACTGACACATCATAGGCAACTCCGTGTCTGTGATCTAGCGCTACACCTATCGTCCTACGGTAGAGGCCTACGGAGCGGAATGAATACAATTTTCGTGCGTGCCAAATAATCTCCGGAGCGAAGTTTGAGCGAAATGTGGAATTTTGAGATTTCGGAACACTCTGAGTGGAATAGTATCCATTATATTCATTCCGCATGATTAGGCCATT